ATGGATGGACCTTGAGGGTGTTATGCTGAGCGAAATAAGTCAGGCAGAGAAGGACAAATACCATATGTTTGCATGTATAGGAGGATTAGGAGGAACTTGACGGAGGANAGAAGGGGGAAAATGGTGGGGGAGAGGGAGAGAAGCAAACCACGAGAGACTCTTGAATCCTGTGAACAAACTGAGGACTGATGGGGGTGGGGGGGGAGGGGGGAGATGGGCATGGAGGAGGGCACTTGTGGGGATGAGCACTGGGTGGTGTATGGAAACCAACATGACAATAAACTATTAAAAAAAAAAAGACTCCATCTGATGTCACCAGCCACGGTCTGTGTGAGAGAGAGCCACCAACACACGCAGTAAATTTCTTTTGGGCCACGTGGCTACTGTGACCCCTTTTGGTTGCAGGTGTGAGGAGGACACACAGCGAAGGGCTTTGTCAGTGCATTGAGAGGATGTTCTAGACCCCACTCGACCTCACCCGCCATTGCCACAGGTGAGCCTCACCAGCTGCCGGACACCTGTCCTTCCTCCACGTCCGCGCTTCTTTCTTGGCGAGTGAAGGCCATGGCAGCTTGGGCATGGGAACCTGACCCGCAAGGGCTCACCTGGCCCCCACAGCCTCCTTCTAGCTCCCATTGTCCCCCCATTTTAACCTAGAAAGAAGCTTCGAGCTTTACAGAAATCTGGGCAGCCAACTGGCCATCTCTTTCTTCCTTTTCCCCTTCCCACCTCCGCCTTCATCCCCAACAGGGGATGCAGTGGTGCATATTCGCTAAACAAAAGGCCATCTGGTCCCTGGGATCAATTATGTCACTCCCCAAGGTGATAGCAGCACTGCAGACGCTTGAGCTTCCAAAGGCGCAGAAGGTAAGAACACTTTCTCTTGCATTTGAGGGTTAAGTACAGTACCTAGTGGAGAGGGGGGTTATTGATTTAAAACAGAGCATGATTTTTAACTGCTCTGTGTGGGAAATGTGCCTGCTGAGAGGCTTCAAATGCAGCCATGCACGTTTGGGATGATTCTGTATGTAACGTAGTACGGGAAGTGACGTGTAAGATACATATGCTGTGTGCGTGGACTGCGGGTTGTCCTCCAATATCCATTCTCACCACTTCCTCAGTAACGGAACCCCAGTGTTGTGTAAGGGCCACGGGCCCCCCATTTCCTTCTCTCTAGATGTGCTGGCTAGGGGGAAACAGAGCCGCCTGCCACTTCCAGAAAGTGCCCCTAAAGGAAGACTGTCCTTCTCATCTGTGCCCTGTCTCCCGTGATGCATGCACATGCGGTGGGGGTGAATGCGACCAGGGAGTCCCAGCAGCACCCTGGGGAAGTCCTGCCCAGCACAGCCATGGGCTGGCCCCTGGGCCCCACCAGCTCTGGGGATGGGGGACATCCTTGAAATTCTCGAATATGAGAAAACAGGAAACGTTTATCTTATCTGAGCCCCTGATATTTGGGAGGCTCTGGTAACTCACAGGCAAACTTCACCCCCTTGGGAGCCAGTGCAGAGGAGGGAGGTCAGGGCCCCGGGCGTGCGCTCAAAGACCAGCACCTAACACTTCAGCTTCTCTCTGTCGTCTTCCCAGCCCAGAGCACCTTTGTCTCTTCGCTGGTGGGTGGAAGAGGCCCTTTCTCTTCCCTGGTGATCACCTGGGTGCCAAGACTTGTGACCTTTGCTTTCTGGCTTTACCTGACAGCTGAGCGTGGCACAACAGCTGCTGTCGTGTGGCGGCCAGCCCTGGGGTTCAGAAAGAGAGTGGGGGGACATGCACGTTCTTAGGGTCCAGAACTCAGCCTGCCCCGTGTTCAGTGCGGCTCACGGGGTCAGAGGCAGGGTGGGGACTCTCAGCACTGCCCCAGGGGCCAGACCGGGTGGGGAGTGAACAGCTGATGCTCCCTCTACGGGATTCTGTCACCTGATGGCTCTTGATGTGATTTTCATTTTATGTGTGTGTTTCTGGGTGGTTTTGAATTGAAAGCATCCAGAGGCAGGCGGCAGGAAGGTGCAGGCTGAGAACTGCGGAGAGCCGGCCGCAGGGAGGTTCTGGAATGTTGCTGTTGTAAGGGGGGTGCGCCTCTAGGGGTCGCCCAAGGGCAGCGCCTGAGACCTTCCAGCTCAGACCAACCAGGAGAGACCTCAGTCTTCCCCACAGAAGAATGGCTTTACCATTTCGGGATTTTCTGTTAATAATCAAGAAGGCCACTATTGCCTGGACCTCAGGAAGAAGTGCAGCATCTGGTTAAAAATGTGGATTTGGGTGGGGCGCCTGGGTGGCTCAGTCGGTTAAGCCGCTGGCTTCAGCTCAGGTCATGATCTCACAGTCTATGAGTTCAAGCCCGGCGTCGGGCTCTGTGCTGACAGCTCAGAGCCTGGATCCTGCTTCCGATTCTGCGTCTCCCTCTTTCTCTGCCCCTCCCCTGCTTGCTCTCGGGTGCTCTCTCTCTCTCTCTCTCTCTCTCTCTCAAAAAATAATAAATAAATAAATAAATAAACAAACATTTATTTTAAATAAAAACACGTTTTTAATTGGATTTTAGGGAGAGACTACAGGTCCTCCACATACTACCCGCTGACCTTGGACATGCCAGTTAAACTCTTTTTGCCTTCTTTTCCCTTTCTCTGCAGTTAAGGGCTATTGCCCAGTATCGGGAAGGCGCTGTGAGGATTTCATGAGATAAGATAAAATGCTTGGGATGGGAGGCACCTGGGTGGCTCAGTCATCTAAGCATCTGACTCTTGATCTTGGCTCAGCTCATAATCTCATGGTTTGTGGGCTCAAGCCCTGCACTAGGCTCTGTGCTGACAGCATACAGCCTGCTTGGGATTCTCTCTCTGCCCCTCCTCTGTGCAGACTCTCTCTCAAAATAAATAAACTAAAATTTAAAAAATGCTTGGGATGGTACCTGGTACGTAGCAACTTTTGAATAACTCAGAACTATAGTTTTTAATAGTCTTGTTGTTTCTCCAAACTCCCAAACAACCAGATTTTCACAGTTCCTTCACCCCCAAATCAGAGTTGTGCAGGAAAGCAGCAGGCGCTGCAGCAAGAGATTTGGGACTGATCCAACGCCTCCATAAACCAGCCATGACTTGCATGCAGTTCTAATGTACACATCTTTCTCACAGGTGGGGGAAAGAATAACACACTTCACTCAGACAGGAACCCAGAACAAGGTAATGCCACCCATGAGGCTGAAGAAGTGAGTGAGCGAGCAGGGGCGCCAGTAGGTGCCAGGCCCTGGGAACGGGGCAGACCGCTGCCCAGAGCACAGTCAGGGCTTTCCTCTGTCCTTCCATTCAACCCACAGGCCTGTGACAGGGAACAAACGGACAATCAGAAAAGCCAGGAATGGAAGTCTCTGAGACCAAGAAACTCTTTCACAAGAGATCATGCCTCTTAGAACAGTTCCCTCTCTTCTTCATTGTTTGATGTGTAGACTTCAGGCTCATAATCTCTCCTGTGATCTGGTCCAGAAGATCGAAATACAAGGCCCAGTTCCTTGCTTTATCAGCACAATCCACTCACTGCCTCCAAATTTAGCTTTCTCGAGTTTGAAATGGAGATAATGTCAGCTTTAAAATGTCGGTGCCGTGACTGAAGGAGTTTCTATCTATGAATGTGTCTCATAAATGGCCTCTTGAAAAGTGTCTCTGTTTAGTAAGCCTACTATGTCTCTGATTTGCTCCAGCGACATCTTGAAACATCAGATATTCAACCTTCACCTGAGCGGAGGAGGCAGAAGTAGGACAGACAGTCGGACGCGGCGTCCTTCACAAGCAGGTGCAGGGAGCAAGCCGATTGGATGGAGATGGTTGACTCCCATGTGGGCTACAGATGCGGGGACCACGTGGCACGGAGGCTGCTGTTACATCTCTGGGTGACACTCTGCAGCTTTCTGTGTCTTTCTCACAGCATCCTCAGAACCCACCTAGAGGTGGGTGCCAGGAGGTCATGGGTGCTTGGACAGTTAAGGAGCCACAAAATCAGTAATGGTGGAGGAGATGTGGCAACTACTTCTGGGTCATAGCAGAGTCCGGACTCTTCCCATGACGTCATGCTGCCTCTCTGAGGCCACACGGTGTCCTAGGCACAAGGCTGAAAGGGAGCGCTTCCTGCCTTGCTCGCCTACACACCCCTCTTGAGTGTGAAGCAGGCTCCACACTCTGAACTGTCAGCACAGAGCCTGATGCACAGCTCAAACCCTCAAACCATGAGATCATGACTTGAGCCAAAGTCAGATGCTCAACTGACTGAGCCATCCAGGCACCTCCCCTAGATGTGTCTTTAAAATAGAATTTGGAAGACAAGAACATTCTTTTTTTTTTTTTTCCAAGTCACCAACGTCCATTCCGAAAGGAAGAACAAAGGCTGCTCAGACCTTCATGTCCCTGAGGCCACTGAGCTCAGCCAATCAGGCCAGAAGTGCTGATAACACAACACATGTCTTTCCTGGTGCCTCCGATTCACATTAGAAACTTCTCCCCGATGTGCCCTGAAGGCTGGCTATTATGTTGTCTTTGGCTTATTTCACAGGTAAAGAAATTTGAAAATAAAAGTTTTTGTGTACTCCAGGAATGAAATCACTTCTTCCACCAGAACTTAAACCAGTTACTACATAACTGATAGTAAATTGAACTCTTTGATATATGCACTACAATATTTTAGAGTTGGCATAGGAATTTACCTTCTAGAATCACCAACAAGAATGAAAACCAAGGGTGAAATTGAATACAACATTCCTGGAGCAAAGGTGGCAGAAACTGCCTCCTAAAAAGGTTACAGTACTCCTGGCCTTTGGCTGAGAATCTCGCTTTTGTCTGTGAGTCGGATGTAAATGCGATTCGGGTATGGTCTGCTGGGAGGGTCGCCATGTTTGAAAACCAAGTGCCCTTCAAGAAAGCTACACCTTGAAATATTTTTGCCAAGATAGACACTGCAAGTACAAAGGCATTTTCTTTCAGAGTGAATGAAACAACACAGATTCTAGGAAACCGGTTACAGAGGCCTCTTTCATAGCAATATTTAAACTCTATTGGATCTTTAAAACACTTTAGGTAATTAAGTAACTGGTAACTACCAACAGTCTCTGCGAGGAAAGGTAAGTGGATAAAAGAGAGCCAGGGCCTTGGGAGATGTAAAGAAAGAAAATAAAGTAAAACGAAGCACATTCGGTGTTCTTCAGGATATCGGTTTAGGGGCAGGTTAAGTGTGAGCAAGAGCCCAGAGAAATCAGGGTTTCGAAGCACTTCTTCTGTTCGTTGGTCTCCATGAAGCCTCTCTCTTAGGTGCCTGCACGTTCTGCTGTCCGGACCTGAAGGTAAATCGTGTTTTCTTTGGGTTTGGCGATCCTGTAGCAGCCAAAAATAAAAATGGATGTTAAAATAAACAATGGTTTGACTAAGAAACTATTGAGAGAGAGAGAAAAGAAGAAAACGATTACAAATCATCCATGGGAATATGTCTCAAAACAAAAGGAGAAAAGGAGGGTAGCCAGCAACACAAAAGGGACCAGCAAAGTGGTATCTCTAAACCTGACCCGGTGCTTATCAACAAATTGTAATGACATCGTTTAAAATCTGGTAATCAGGGGTGCCTGGGTGGCTCAGTTGGTTAAGCGCCTGACTTCAGCTCAGATCATGATCTCACGGTTTGTGAGTTCAAGCCCTGCATTGGGCTCTATGCTGACAGCTTGGACCCTGGAGCCTGCTTCCAATTCTGTGTCTCCCTATCTCTCTGCCCCTTGCCTATTCGTGCTCTGTCTCTCTCTCTCTCAAAAAAAATAAACATTAAAAATAATTTTTTAATCTGATAATCAATATTAGCTATCCAATTGGGACCAAAAAAGCACATTGTTGGCGACTAGAAAATGTGTTTACAGTTAAATTAGAGTGTTTGTCCCAGGGCGCAGTTGGTTAAATGTCCAACTTTGATTTCAGCTCAGGTCATGATCTCACGGTCATGAGACTGAGCCCCGAGTCAGGCTCTGAGCTGACAGTGAGGAAGGAGCCTGCTTGGGGTTCTCTCTCTCTTTTCTCTGCCCCTCCCCCAACCCCCAATACACACACTCACTCACTCTCTCGCGCTCTCACTGTCTCTCAAAATAAATAAACTTAAAAAAATAGTTTTGTCCCCTATCAGTACTGAGACACCCAGAATTTCTCGAAGTGAGGTTTACGAAGCACTTAAATGGGCTTTATCGGCAGAGCTTACTGACCACACAGATTCCTCTGTCCCACCCTTCATTTACTAAATCAAAAATCCTAGTGGGCTTGGGAATCTGCATTTCAGTAAGCTTTTTGTTTTGTGATCCTTCTGCATACTAAGTTTTGAGAACCACTGAGGAGTTTACACAATATGCAAGAAGAATGGAGACAAATCTAAGATTTGTTGAACACCTACTATATGTGGGGCACATGATTAGTCACTGTCCCCCACCTTATCTCATTGAATGTTCCCAGCAGTCCTCCAAGCTGAGTATTATTGTGGCTATTTGTCAGGCAAGGAGGTTAATTTCCTGTAAGGTTCAATGACATCCCAAGTAGATGACTGGATTTGAGCCCAGGTCTCTTTGACTCCACTGACCATTCTCTCTATGTCACAGGGACTCATGTGTCTTTCCTATGGAATCCATCAAGTGAGCCTGGAGGGGGATCTGAGAGGCCTCCACCTCCTCAATCATTGTTTATTCCTTTCTTTTTTTATTGCTCTAATAAAGCCCTTGTCCCTGTCACAAGAATGAAAGTTGTAAGTCATTCTTCCTTTGTTAAGAAGTCACTAAAGAATCAGAACCAACAGAGGCACCCGGGTGGCTCAGTCAGTTGAGCGTCCAAGTCTTGATTTGGGCTCAGGTCATGATCTCACAGTTTATTGAGTTCAAGCCCTGCATCAGGCTCTGTGCTCATAGCACAGAGATTCTCCCTCATAGCTTGAGATTCTCCCCCTCTCTCTGCCCCTCCCCTGCTCTCACTCTATCTCTCAAAATAAATAAATAAACCTTTAAAAAATGTTTAAAGAATCAGAACCAACAATTGCTACAAGGACAAAAGATTGATTTAAGAATAATTCCCAACTCAGAGCAGTTAACTCTTCATGAGCTAGGGACTCAGCCTTTGTTCAGTCAGCATCTCAGACACATGTTCTCAGTCCCACAGTTCAGAAGAGGTAACTGCCAACCAAAACCACGTATTCGTGCTCTCCAATCTTTCCTCATCCAAAGCTACTGGCTATTTGTGTTGTGTTTCTCTCTATAGCAGCTCTGAGTGAAAAAAAAAAAAAAAAAAAAAGATATCTGTGAAGCTCTCCTGAAGTTCTAATATAGATGAAGTGGAGGTGCCATGGTGCAGGTCTCACTCACGTGACCCCCGAGGCCCCAGGCACCACAGGCTCACCTCCCAAGGTTCTCGGCGTCTTCGATGGTCTCTGGCAAAGTGACTCCTTTGGTCTCAGGAAGAAGCAGCGTAACCCCCCCGGCAACCAGGCCCAATATCGCTTCAAACAAAACAGAGTTCACACGGAGCCATTTGAGCACAGCCAACAGCATGTAGGGATGCCGACCGCTAGCTAAAGAGATGGCTAGGTAATGCACCTGTGACAGACACTTGGTGTTTAGAAGTTGGGAACACTTAGAAAATGAAAGTCAAAGCAATAGGATCGTGGGAAATGTCAGAGTGAGGAAGGGGAATATTGGGGTGCCTGAGTGGCTCAGTCCATTAAGCGTCTGACTCTTGGTTTTGGCTCAGGTCATGATCTCATGGTTCGTGAGTTCCTGCCCCAAGTTGGAGTCTGCATTGACAGCATGGACCCTACTTGGAATTCTCTCTCTCTCCCTCTCTCTCTACACACCCCTCAAAATAAATAAAACATTAAAAAAAAAGAAAAGGGAATATTGCCTTTACCTCTACATAAGAATAACTTTGACGATAACTGATGTTTAAGTGTTAGCAGATTTATTATATATAATGTATATTCTATGTATTATAGTTATCATATACAAAACTACACATATTAATTGCATTATAATGTATTGTTTTGTATGTAATATATAATAGTTACCATATATAAACTATAATATATACCGTAGTTACTATATATTAATATTATGTTACTATATATTTGATATGAAGCATAGATAATATATTTGTGGGTAGTGTGGGCCTCTCTCATTTCTCCCTCCCCAGCCCTCCTCCCTCTTTCTCCACCCCTCTCCTTATTTCTCTCTTCCTCTCTCCTCTGCCCTCTCCCTCAAGCTATGCCTGGGCTCCAGCCACGGCAGCTCTCTGCACGTAGGTGGTCGTTCTGCCTTCCACCAAATGGGTAAGCAGGATCTTGGAGACCCCAGGGTCTCAGTTTGGAGAGAGAAGAGTCGCCTCCTCCTCCTCTAACCCAACTTCATCACTATCACAGCTGATACTAAATGTCAATTCCCATTTGCCTCCTTGTATCTATTTCAACTGTTAAGCAGCAGGATGATAATTTAGCAACTTTAAGCCTCCAGCAATTACATGTTAAATGCACAAAAATTGGGAGTCAAATTCATAAGAAAGGAGGAGGCTATGTCAAAAGGTCTCTCAACTTCTGTCCTGTAAGATCAATGATCAGGCTCCAGAGCCATCAAATGTCAACCTCTGGCTTGCCTCCCGGGAATGGCTTCCTGTCTTCCTCCTGGAGCAAGACAGAGTGAGCCAGGAGACAGCGAAACGCCAGGCGCCACCCGTGTCATCTGTAAACTCACTGGAGGACATCATTCACTCATCAAATAGTTATTGGGTAATCACGCTGGGGTGGGGAGAAGGAATAATAAACATCCCAGGGAGTCTTACCAAACAAAACGAGTGGCAAGCCTTGCCAGACCTCCATCAGCCTGAAGACCAGAAAGGGGGTGATGATCCCGCCCAGATCGCACAGGGAAGAGCACACCATCACTCCAAGGTTCCTGATAAAACAGAGAACAAAAGAGATGATACTTCTGTGATCCAACTTCCAAATGTTAACCTTATCCGACAGCCAGCACAGGGAGGGAAGAAAGGTCGGAGACAGAGTTAATCACCAATGGCCAATGATTTTCAATCAATCATGTTACATAACAGGGCCTCTGTAAAAACCCTCAACTATGGGGTTCAGAGCTTCCAGGTCAGTGAACATCTCCACGTGCTGGGAGGGTGGCCCACCCCACCTCCATGGGCACACAGGCTCCTGTGCTTGGGACCCTTCCAGATCTTACCCTACTACCTCTTCATCTGGCTGGTCATTTATATCCTTTATTATGTCCTATATTATAAACCGGTAACTGTAAGTGTTTCTCTGAGTTCCGTGAGACATGGCAAATTACTGAACGTGAGGAGGGGGCTATGGGAGTCCTGACTTAGAGCCAGTAAGTCCGAAGTCCAGGCGACAACGTGGGGCTCATGCCTGGCATCCGAGGTGGGGCCAGTTACCTTACCCTGTGGCATCTGCACTAACTCCACGTGGTCCCCACCAGAATGGAACGGGGTACCCAGGTGGTGTCTGGAACGTTGGAGAACTGCTTGGTGTGAGGAGAGTTCTTTTGGGGTTTCTTTGTTTGTTGGTTGGTTGGTTGCTTTGATTGTTACATGAAGACATAGGGAAGGGGGGAGAGAAGGTGTTAGGGATGGAAGGACAAAGAAGGCTAGAAGAGAAACAGAGAAATTATCCTACCTGAAAGGACCCTCTTCATCCCTGGTGATAGTCTTTGCTCTGACATCTACTCTAACTTCTACAAATATGGCCACAGCATCTTTTTCCATCCTTTTATACTATCTGTTTATAACATCTTTTTCCATCTTTTTACTCTATTTTTTAAGTTCATTTTTTTTAAGTTTCTTTGTTTTGAGAGAGCACGTGTGAGTGACAGAGAGAGAGGGAGATAGAGGCTCAAAAACAGACTCTGTGCTGACAGAACAGAACCCAATGCAGGGCTCAAACCCATAAACCATGAGATCATGACCTGACCCAAAGTCAGACATTTAACCAACTGAGCCACCCAGGTGCCCCATCGTCATTTTACTCTTAAACTGTCTCTGCCCCTATATTTAAAGTGAGATTTTGATAGGCAGTATCCAATTGAGTGTCACTTTTTTGTCCAATCTGACAATCTTCGTCTTTTTTTTTTTTTAATGTTTTATTTCTGAGAAAGAGGGAGAGACAGCGTGGGCAGGGGAGGGTCAGAGAGAGAGAGGGAGACACAGAATCCGAAGCAGCTCCAGGCTCCGAGCTGTCAGCACAGAGCCCAACGCGGGGCTCAAACCCACAAACTGTGAGATCATGACCTGAGCCGAAGTCGGACGCTTAACCGACTGAGCCACCCAGGTGCCCCAATCCTTGTCTTTTAACTGGGGTGTTTAGGACATTCATATTTCTTTTGACAGTTGATACACTTTACTTTGTTCAGTGCTGGGTATTTTTGTATTCCTATAAATAATGTTGAGCTTTGTTTTAAAAACATGGTTAAGTGAGGAAAATCAAACTGGGAAAAATTTATCCTTTAGGATGCGACCTTTAAGCTTCTTCTATGATACCTATTTGCATAATCTCTTACTCCCTACAATGAGTAATTATAAAAGTAGTACATTCCTGGGTGGCTCATCTGTTAAGCATCCAATTTTGGCTCAGGTCATGATCTCTCTGTTCGTGGGTTCGAACCCCGCATCGGGCTCTGTGCTGACAGCTCAGAGCCTGGAACCTGCTTTGGATTCTATGTCTCCCTCTCTCTGCCTCTCCCTCAGTCATGCTCTGACTCACTTTCCCTCTATCAAAAATAAACATTGAAAAAACTTTAAATAAATAAGTAGAAGTAGTACATTCTTTCCCAGTCCCTCCCTGTACTACCTCATCTTGGTTGATTATATCAACTCTCAGTGTTTGCCACTATGTCTTTAAATATATTTATAACTCACTTTATCAGATTTCAATGGGATGTTTCTTCTTAGCTGGAAAAAGCATACTGAAGAAATTATATGTAAAATTATCCATCCATGTTTTGTAGAAAGATTGTAATAATAAGAGTAGATGTTGAATTTTATTAAATGCATTTCATTGACTATGGAAATAATATAGTACAGTTTTAACTTTTCAGCTTTTAATTTATTACCTCTATAAAACTCTTTCAATTTATTAATAAGCATGAATTATACTATCAGATTTTCCAATACTGGACTATCTTTGTGTTCCTGAGTAACTCATCTTAGATATGATATATTATTATTTTAATGTCTCCACTATTCTGTTTGGTAAAATATAGTTTGGGATTTTAATCATATTTCACAAATAATATTTACCTATAGTTTTCTTGTTTTCTTTATCTTTGTTGTCTTTGATACCAGTATTATGCTAGCTTTATTAAAATTTTTTAAAAAAATCTTTCTTTTTCTATAGTCTAACATAGTTTGAGTATCATTGGAATTTTCTATTAATTACATGTTGTAAAATCTCCCTGTAAGACCATTGTGGGTTTCCTCTTTATCATTGTTTAGGGACTTCTTATCTTATTAAATACATTTTTGGCATAAATTCAATTTTGTCTGATAAGATTATGGCTCTTGCTATATTTTTGTTTGCATTCATGCATTCTTTTCTTTTTAACCTTTCCAAGGAAAAGTTATACTTCAACTATACAGCAAATTGTTCAGTTTCGCTTTGTAATCAACTCAAGGCGTCTCTTTATTTTTAATAGAGGACTTGAGTCTCTTTGTGTTTACTTAAATGTCAGAAATGCTTGGTCTTAATTCTGTCTTTAGCTTTTATGTCATGGTTTTTATTGCTTCTAGTGTCTTATTTTCAATATGTGTCGGTTATGTGTATTTTTTTCCTGATAATTTGGAAGGTTTGTATTATTTTAAGTTTATTTTTTTTTAGTGATCTCTTCACCCAATGTGGGACTTGAACTCATGACCCCCGGATCAAGAATCCCATGCTCTTCCCACTGAGCTAGCCAGGTGCCCTGGAAGGTCTGTATTTTTATTCAAAATGTTACCTTTATTTTATTTAATACATTTAATACTCTATTTCTTTAGACAGAACCTAACACGGGGCTTGAACCCACAAACCGTGAGATCATGACCTGAGCCAAAGTCAGATGCTCAACCGACTGAGCCACCCAGGTGCCCCCAGGATCATTCTCGTTTTAAGGCTGGTATTTGCAGGTTTGTTTATTCTCATTTTTCAAGTAGCTTCAGTGTGATTTCCAAGAGGAGAAAGAAAAGATGCCATTATTTTAAGAAATTACATCTTAAAAAAGTAAAGACAATTAATAAGCACACAGAAGCTGGAAGCAACAGGAACATCACATGATGTGTTTTGTTCACTTGGCCATTCTGCGGGCATGTAGGGACCGCTCAGTACAGCTCTAGAACAGGTACAGAGAAGTATGATTTGTCGTTCCTGTTCACAGGGAGCTCATGCTGTCGTGAGGACACAAAAAGGAGAGACAATTTCCAACGCAAGGCAGAGCCTATTGAAGCTAAAAGAATGTTCTTGACAATAAGCGCTGCAGTCAGAAGGAGGCTGTTCATTTCCAAAGCCTCCTGTGGATAAGAAGCAGGGTCAAGATGGCTTCAATAGTCATTTTTTCTCTTTGGGGTTCTTGTAAAGTAATAAAGTAACCAGAATAATCTTTTTCTTAAAAAACAATTTAGATTTGATTCTATCAATTGAAAATATCAGATCTTTCATGACTGTCTTATTCTTGTGTATGTGTGGATCACATTTAAAGGTTTTTTTTAAGTTTATTTATTTATTTTGAGAGATAGATAATGTGTGAGCAGGGGAGGGACAGAGAGAGAGGGAGAGGCAGGAGAGAATCCCAAGCAGGCTCCACACTCTCTGTTCAAAGCCCAACGTGGGGCTTGAAATCACAAACCATGAGATCATGACCTGAGCCAAAACCATGAGTTGGACGCTTAACCGACTGAGCCACCTCAGTGCCCCTAAAGTTATTTCTGAACATCTGGTTTCCGTTGCTAGTTACTGAGAATCTTTATCAACAGGCTCTTTTCACAAATGGCTCCTTGAGATGGGTTGCTTGGCTTTCTTCCCCACAAGAGTGAGGACTCGGGCCCTTTGACAGTTTACATTTTCAGCCAGTCCCCTGGGCCCAGTGGCCATGACAATGGAATTGTTTGGCCCAGCTATTTTAGACTCTGGGCTCAGGACTGCCAAATGTGGAAGATTTTCTCTTTAATCTGCCTTCATCTCTTTGTACTCAGTCCAAGCAACCTTTTATAGATGAGAATATAAGACAGAGCCTTTTAATGAAGGGCAGGTGGGGAAGAGAAGAGTACATCAGAGCCACTGTCGCATCTTCCAGCTGACTGATGGTTCAGACTGCTGTGCAGTTGGGAGACTGGGGAGCTGGAATATTTCTTAGAAACTACTAGCAAGATAACAGGAGGAATAGGACGCAAGAAAGAGTTACACAGACCAAAGAGAGTTTAAGTTTAACAAAGGTCAGAATTAAACCTTTAAATAAAGTGATTAATTTCTTGTACAATAAAGATAATCTTCATGGGGCGCCTGGGTGGCTCAGTCAGTTAAGCGTCTGAATTCGGCTCAGGTCATGTTCTCGCGGATTGTGGGTTCAAGACCCGCATCAGGCTCTGTGCACAGAGCTCGGAGCCTGGAGCCTGTTTCAGATTCTGTCTCCCTCTCTCTCTGTTTCTCCCCTGCTCACATTCTCTCTCTCTCTCTCTCTCTCTCTCTCTCAAAAATAAATAAAGATTTAAAAAAATTTTTAAATCTTCATTGAAAATCAAGTCTCCTAAAATACAGATGGCAGTAAGTACATACAAAAATGCTCAACATTGTTAGTGATTCGGAAAATGTAACATAAAGTCACAATAATTCCACTACCTCTTAGAATGACTTAGAAAACTAAAAAATTTGTCAGCACCCTAACAATACCAGGTCCTTATGAGGACATAAAACAACGGATCTCTCACATGTGGCTGGTGGAATACAAAATGGTGTAGCCACTTAGGAAAACATTCTGACGCTTTCTTATAAATTTAAACACACACTTAGCATATGAGCCACTCCTAAGTTTTTGGCCAAGAGATCTGAAAACATATATCCACTCAAAGACCCATACCTGAATGTTTATGAGCAGCTATATAATAGTCACTGCAAGCTGGAGACAGCCAATGTCAATAAACTGGGAAATGGATAAACAAATTGTGGTACTTCATTTGCACACTGGAGTGAGTAGCACTCAGCACTCACTCAGAAGGAACAGAGCATGGATTATTATGCATTATTATTATTATTATGCATCACTATTAGCATTATGCAAAGTGAAAGGAGACAAACACAAAGTCTGCCTGCCTTGTGACTTCATTTACAGAACATTCTGGATAAGGTAACACCAAAGGGAGAGAAATCAAATCAGTGGTTGCCAGGTGCTGGGGGTGGGGAAGGAAGCCTTTGGAGATGATGGAAATGTCTCCAAACTGATTGTAGTGGCAGGGACATGAGTACATATATAGTAAAAATACAGCAAACTGTGCACTATATTGGTTAGAGTGAGTTTTGGTCTTGAAACAATAAGTCTTTTAGGCCCATTGCTATGCAGCAAACATTGTTTACGGAAAAGCATTGTGTCATCACAGGAAAGGCACCAGCCTCAAGGTCAGAAAGATGCCCTGTCACTTTCTGGCTGTGTGCCTCTTGCAACTTCTCTATCCCTCTCTGCACCTCAACTTCCCCATCTGCAAGATGGAAATAATGACATTAGGGGCGAGAGGGCATATGTCTAGAAATGCTTTCTGTATCACTGTGCCAATCAGAATGCTGTTTAAGCCACATGTATCTGCCGGCGTGGGTGGAGCTGCCAGAGTCCACGCAACTAGTCTGTGCCGTGGGCTCGGCTGAAACTCCGTCTCCCACTCCCTCCCATCTCTACGCGGACGCCTTTTCTCTGGTGCTCGCCCTCTGCACTGTCACCTCCAATCTTTCCAGCTCACATTCTCTCCTATCATTGGGCGCCGACACTCTCTTTGATGCCCAACTCCCACCTCAATGTCCAAACGGACCTTGGGGGAGTCTTGAAGAGCTGCCTTGGAAATGCTGGTCCTCGCTGAGCCTGGTTGGTGCACAGCTATTTCAGGGGCCACCCAACCTCCCCCAGCGCACCTCGCTTTGTGCACCCACCTGACAAACGTGGGATACAGCTCGACGTTCACCAGGCACACCATTTGGAACACGATGGTGATTCCCATTCGGCCGACACAAGCTACTGTGATGCTTAGCCACTGTAGATCTGGACAGGAAACACAGAGGCATCGGGGGGGTGGGGGGTGCGGGGGGAAGGGGTCTCACATAAGGACTGTGGTCAAAGAATTCACTCCATCAAGGGGCCACGTTAAGAAGCTTGGCCTTTAGAGCTGGAAGGGCCTGAAGGACTGTCTTGTCTAACTCTTTCCTTCTGGGATAAGTACACTGAGTTCTGAGAGGTTTCAGAACTTGATAGTGACATGAGGGGGGTCCTCAGTGCAGGGGAAAGAACGTGTGCTTCGAGGCTCAGCTCTGCCTCCTGTCAGCCACGTGACTTACTTTCTCATGTCTTGGTTTCCTCGGCTGTAAAATGGGAATAATTACAGCCAGCCTATAAGTTGTTGTGAGATTTTGAGATAATACTTGCCAAATGTCCACCATGACCACTAATAAATGCTGGCTTTTTAATTATCACGTAACGGTAGCCCAGCTAGCACCTGAAATATAGTAGGTCCACAATAATGCAGCCCCTGAGTCAGTCTCCTGAAGCCAACAGACCAGATTTCTAGTGTTCGCTTCCAAACACATTTTTTAAACCAAAACACCTCTCAAGATAGTCTCAGGTGTGAGTATTAGGCCGGCTGCTGTGAGACTCTTGATTACATGAAGGTCCAGGAAGCCCGCTCCCTGTTGAGGACTGATCCAAGAATTGGGCACCTTGGTCCACTCCACTGGGATCACCCCAAACGCTAACACATGCAAGTGGCTCCCGTCACAAGCCAGGAGCCTCTGGGGTCACAGCCACTATGCTGTCTCTACCCCTGTCCCCAGATACTGGCTGCTCACAGAAGCCAAACTCTGTTTCACTCCACCAGCGTGAGGCTCCCAGGAGAGAGGACGCGGTGGCCTTAGGAAGGAGCTGGCCACCAGGTGCAGCCCAGTCTCCCAGCCTCCTGAGGCTGTCCACCTTGCGCTAATCAAGGATGCGCCCCAGCTTCCCAAAGAGAAAAAATGAGGAAGATCATCTTGAGGGGAGACCTTGCCACAAAGTCCGGGGTCTTTGATCTATTGAGCTGTCCTACTGCCCTGGCTTCCCTCGGCGCTTGGGGCCACTCTCTACAGGGAATGTCCCTGCCCAGAGCCTTCTTCAACACTGAGGGACAGTCCAAGGCCGCCTCCCGCGAACTGGGCCCCTGTCCGGCGCTCCCGCCCCTGCTCTCCTGATTTTAGGCACAAGGATTCCAGCTGTTTCTTGAATTCTCAGCTCTGCCCTCCCAGGGAGACTCCCACTTCTGTCCCCTGCCTGGGAAGCACATTCCCTAGATGGCAACACGGCTCCCTCCCCTCACTCAGGTCTCCTGAGGCCACCCCTGACCGCCACACCAAGGATTAAGCCAACCACGCTTCACCCTCTGTTTTTCCCTCCAGAATGTAAATCCTGCAAGGCAAGAACTTTCTCAGCTTTGCTCGCCACTGAGATCCCAGGACCTACAGATCCATGCCGGCCACAGAGAAGACACTCGAAATACTTCCTGGACGAGGGAGTGAATGTTTATCATCTAATGGGGCAAGGACTAAATCGAGGCCAAGTGGAGACGGTGACGGCTGGGAGGGGGGGCTCTGAGGGGGTGCCTGGACTCTGGCCGGCTGATAACTGCACAGTCTCAGAACTCAAGCTCCCTCTCTGTATCCAGTGCTGAGTTATCTTTCTTGGGTTCTAGAAACAAGAAAACGGGGACAAAAGTGGGTAAAATCTATTTCAGATGACCTCTGCCCTGTCTTCTTTGTTCTCTCCCCCTGCAAGAAAGGGGAAGAAAACTGAGCTGCCTTTTTTTAGTTTCAGCCTGATCTATATCCAGCCTGTTCCTTGAGAAGACAAGAGCTCAGGAAACGTTTCCCACACTACTCTCCATAAAGCTTACCAAAACAACTCATTTAACCAGCAAGGCCAGAGCGCAAGCCATAAAACCGGAGAGAATAGCAAATCTGCCTTAGAGCTTACTTAATCTTCTCAGAGGAACAAAGAAGAAAGGCAATTTGTGCACTGAAAATTAAAACTGGCTAAAATGATTCTGCTTTGGGTTATCTTGGATCGTAAGAATTATGGACCAAAGCACCCACCCACTGAAATGGCTGGCGTGAAAAAGACTAGCAACACCCAGTGTTGGTGATGATGTGGAACAATTAGGCACGCAGGCATCATCGGTTGGGAGTATAAATTGGTCCAACCATTTTGCAAACCTGTTTGTATCTACTAAGAGGTACCTGTATGCAGCCCCTGACCCAGGAAATACACTCACAGATTTGTACCCAAGGGAAATCAGTGCCTGCACCATGACAAGACAATGTGCTAGAATGTTCACTGTGGCTTAGATCCCAATAGGCAGATGCTGAAAACCACACAAGGGTCAGTCAACAGTGGGACAGGTAAGTGGCATGGGATTCATACGGAGGAATGCTACACAACAAGGAAAACGTATATAAACCAGGCTCCGGCATGAGAGCGTGGACAGATCTCACAGGTGGAATGAATGAATGAAGCAAGACAAGTAGATAGGGTACATCTCGTATGACCCCTTTTAGATGAAGTTCAAGAACCATCAGAATTAATTTTCAGGGACAGAGGTCAGAGCAGTGGTGACCTGAGCAGGGGGGTTGAGTATGGATTGTCAGGGACCATGGGGGAGCCTTCTAAGGTGCTGGCAACGTTCCACATAATCTGGATCATGGTACCCAGATATATACCTATGGAGAAATTCATCAACTTGCACACTCATAGTTTGCTCATTGTGTGTATGTTATACCTCAATTTAAAATAATAAAAGAAAACAAACCTTGTAGATGAAGGTAACACCCCGCCTTTGTCTTTGTTCTTATTCCAGGGGCTTATCAAGCAGCTAAAACACTGTTGCCCCCGCTGGATAATTCGATTCCCTAGAAGATGATGAAGACGGACAGCTCACCATGCGGGATAAAAATCATGGCGAAGCAGGCCGCCACCGCCACCAGGTTTGACAGGGCCAGCGGGCGGATGAGGCCCAAGCGGTCGATGGTGACGAGGATGATGAAGGCCGCCGGGAATTCAACCAGCGCCGAGTACAAGAAGTCCAGGTAGAGGTTCCCGCCCGTGGCGCCCACGTGCATGATGAGGCCCTGGTAGAGCACGGAGCTGGTGAACCTGGGCACAGAGGGGAGGCAGAGTCTGACGCAGAGTCTCCGTCTGCGGGACAGCAGGGAGTTGGGATTCTGGCAGCGAGGACAAAGGTCCCTACAAGCTGGAGACGAACACGGGTCACTTGATTTAGAATCCCAAGAGAGATATGGAAAGAGGTATGAACGTCAGGAAAGATGCCTAGAGCAGCTCCTCTCAGACTTACGTGAAACAATGACTTCCAGGACATAACCACGTGTCCCAGAGCCCGCCGACGATGACCCTTACTGTTTCCTGCAAACCCAGGCGCCTGGCGCTGCCCAGAGCCCTGCACAGGCTTTACCTCGTCTAATTCCCTAGCAGCTACAGGGGGATGGGCAGGAGAGGGCGAGTGGGCAGGTTCAGTAATGAGGCTGCTGCCTGGGCCGTGCGACCTGAAGGAACTTAGCTAAGCCCTCTGTGCCTCAGTTCCCTCATCAGCAAATGGAATAGGGTCTTCCGTGAACACTCGGGCAAGTCCCGTCCTGCCCAGAATGGAGACTCAGGCAGAGAGGCCTCTCCTTGCTCCACCCTGACGAGGGGAGACCAGTCCTGACCACAGACGTACAGGTGTAGAGGCCGGCCTTCGTTTAGAGAGGCGGGGTCTACTTCAGCGCCACCCACAGACAAGGTTTGCCCTCATCAGGACGGTGACCCAAGGGGCAGGGACAAGTTCCTTCTCTCCACAGCGCTCTCTGCACCCTTCCCTGCCCCACAGAAAGTGCCTGGTGGGCTTCCTGGCATGGAAAAAGCACTCAGTAAAGATGAGCGGTAATTGGTGTCGTCATGTCATCTCCCCAAGGTCAAGTGCCCACAGACAGCGGAGCAGATGCTGGCCAAGTCTTCCTAGCTGCACGGGGGCACTGTTCCCCTCTCTTCCACCCTCTAGCCCACCACACGACCCATCCATCGATCGTCCAGGGGAGCAGAGCAGGGTCACAGAACACAGCACCTAGACCAATGGGGACCAGCTAAGTCACTCAGGGAGACTTCAGAGAGCTCCATGTGTCCTTTTCGGTGACATTATGTAATCGCGGAGGCTGGACACATTTTACAATTATACTGGTACTTGCACTGTGAGAAGAGACTTTGGTTGATGATTAATTGCTCTGCTCCCCGCATGTCGATTGCCCATCAGCTCCAAAACTGAGATCACAACTGATATGTCCCATTAATATAGTCCCTCATTGTATAAAGCTGCATGCAGAGAACTACTGGGAATGCTCTTGTTTCCAGTCCTGAATCATTCCTGATTAGAGAAGAGGGTGAGTGAAGGAAGGCGCTCACCAGCAGCTTAATGAGTCCAGATAAGCCCAGGGGCCCCTCCGTGCCAGTTAGCCACTTAAATGGGAACAGTCACATATTACTGATAAAGACATTGATTTAAGAGAAAGGAATGTGTAACCTTGATTTTCCCGTCCGAAACCGATTCACAAATGTGCAGGGCTGCCATCTGTTGGCAGAACCCATGAATTGCATGTACATGTTAGAGTAGCAGCTCGTGGTACTGAGCGAATCCTGCGTCTATGTCGGACGCCGTTTATACATGTTATCTCGTGAATCTGCCAACATGCTTGGGAGGTACGTCCTCTCATTACCCCACATGCTGATGAGGAAACTGAGTCATGAACAGTGAAGCCTTCTGCAGTCACACGGCCAGGAGGTTCCGCAGTGAAGGAGCAAGTGGAGAGGAGGCCAGGAAGAGAGGCGTCCGGGGTCAGTGCCTTGGAGGCCACGGAGAGGGATTTGGTTTTCTCCTCAGTGGAATGGGAGGGTGTGGACAGGGGGGTGGCCTGGCCTTTGCCTGCTTTGGGAGGAGGAACAGACAGGGCACCTGAGAGGCACCACGGCTGCACAGACAAGAGATCACACCACTCAGGCAGGGAACTGAGAGGGCAGGTGAGGTGAAATGGCAGATTCTGAACACATTTTCAAAACAGAGCAGAATCTGCCAAGGGCTTGGGTGCAGGGGTGTGAGAGCAGAGGAACTGAAGCTCTCAGGGGATGGAAATGGGGGCAGCGAGTGGCGGGGAGGAAGGGAGGAGGGAGACAGAAGGGCACGGGCAGCTGGGGTGTTTGCAAAGGCTCCCGGGACCCATCGTGGGGCTGGCTGTGGAGCCACCACGGAGACAGGGCAGGAGACTGGTGGTGCAAAGGGAGCAGGCCTGGCTGGTGTCTAACGCACTGGGGAGGGAGTCTGTGGAATGGTGCTTATTCATTCAGCCTTCAGCAAATATTTGTGGGGCTACCGTGTGCCAGGCATCACCCTATTAGTTTGAACCCTTGGTTCTAGTAAAATCTTATATGGAAGCAGAAATGAGTTATACCAGCGGCAGGGTAGGCCCACAGTCCAGGCCCAGGTGAGAGGAGCATGTCAACGACAAAGCCCAGGTAATGGGGAGTCAACCCGATGTCCCCTGAGGGAACAGGGTAGAGAACCACAAGATGGCCACCTGGAGGGGGTACAGACCATGGCGGTGGGCAAGGGGTACATGCCTGAGTCCATATGTGTCCAAGAGTTCTGTAATCAGTGGATAATAAAGACAGTCTCGGGCAGGTCTCTGAGGTTCTAGGGTGTGAGGAAGGGATCTCTGGAGGCATCAAGAGCCACTGAAATCTCATCCACCTTCCGAAGTGAAATCAAGACTCATCTTCCCAAAAGAGACACATGGGATTTGAGGCAACTTTAGGAGCCCTTCATCATATCTCACTCATCTTACTGTTAACCTCGCCCACGTAACATGCTCTTCTTACTGAAATGATGTCTTTCCCATTATTCAGTCCCCAAGGAAGAAATAAAGATGTCTTGCTAAGAGCTCTTTGACTGCTTGAACTCCATCTACAAATTTCTTTTCATGCTTCTCTTTTTCCACCAGCATTGCGCCACTGTCTTTTTCTGTAAGGTTTATTTATTTATTTGGGGTGGGGGGAGGGGCAGAGAGAGAGACAGAGAATCCCAACCAGGCTCCATGCTCAGTGTGATCTTATGACCGTGAGACCATGACCTGAGCCGAAATCAAGAGTGGGCCGCTTACCCAACTGAGCCACCCACGTGCCCTGCTCCCCGATTCTGACAGGGAAGGCAGAGGGAAGGCCCCTTACCACAGGTACATCAGAATGAAGGTGTGCCTCCTCAGGTGGGGGGTGCGGAACAGGTCTGCGAAGGAGGGGCTCAGCTTTTCGGAGACATCCTCTTCGAGAGAGAGCATCTAGGAGGGAGTGGGAGCGTCAGCTGCAGCCTAGCTGCGGGGGAGCAGAAGTCCTGAGAGCCACCACACCCCGGAGGTCAGTCACCGGCATTCATGTGCCCGGCACCCATCACCCCAAATTCCTCCAGTGTCTTCCTGCTTCTCAGGGCAGCCCCAGAAGCATTTTCTAAATCATAAACCAAACCCCCAAATTCGGTGAAGTGAGGAAGCCCTTGGTAGCTCGTCACCTTTAGGTCAGCAACTGGAGGTTTCCCATTCTTTCGGGCGATACGGTCCATTATCTTTAGCACTTGGGTGTTTCTCTTCTGCGATAGCAGCCAGCGGGGAGACTCGGGTACACACCTGTGGACACAGATCGTCACTGCTTGGCACCTCCCCCAGAGCGCGCCTGATTTTAAGCCCTGGTCACAGTGATGTTGTTGCTCTGGGCGACCCGTCCTCCTCACATGGGGACTGTCATTCCTCAAGCAGCTGGTGGACAAGGATCTGGAGTCACCCTGTGTTGGCCCAGGGAGCCCACGAAGGAGCTCTGTGGGTCCCTCATACTCTCAGTGGCACCTGCTAAGATTTAGAAGCAAAAAGGGAACCGTTGCTTTCCTACGTGGCCTTCATTTCCTGGAGCAGGGGCCCCACTCTCTGCTGGAAGCGGGGAGCCCTATTCCTCACCCAGAATGGATGTTCCATGTGCCCCCCACCCCTGGTGCTACAGCAAGTGTCTTCATGTCACTTGAGGGCGGCTAAGTCTCGAAATATCTCCCAAAAGGAAAAAACCATGTCCACTTTCCTTTAACATCAGGGAGATATGCTGCCCATTTCAAACCAGGTAAGGACGTGACAACTTGACGATTGAGACTCTCTGGCAAAAGGTCTTCTGAACACACTCTGGCCCTCCTTCCGCCCCACCCCCCAGACCCTCTGGTTTCAGCCTGACGGGGAGAGAGCAGGCTGGTCCTGACCACAAGTGCACCGCTCCCAGAGAGCCCTTGTTGAGAGAGGCTGGGTCTACTTCAGCGCCGCCCACAGAGAAGGTTTGCCCTCAGCAGGATGGTGACCAAAGGTGCAGGGATGAGGTGCTTCTGCCCACAGCCCCCTCTGCACCCCTTCCCTGCCCCACTATCACAATCCATCTGTCCCGAGGCTTCTCCCTGGGGACCCTGCCAAGTGCTGACAGCTGGTGAGAGCAACGCCTCATTTGGACTGGTTTGTTTCACAATGGCCTAACGTGCACATTCTCCGAGAACATTCCACCCATTCATTCATTCATTCATTCAACAAACAGCAAATGCCTACATGTATCTAGGTGGAGTTTTGTCTGACTTGAAGCATTGCCTATCTAAGGGGATGCAAATTTAAAGAGGCTCCGTTTGAGTCTGGCTCCCCAGGTGATGAGGGCCATTAGCAGAATACAGAACACCCCCCCCCCCGGTGGTACAGATAGTGGCAGTGGCCCTATAGCCATGCCTGTGGCCACCGCGGCCATGCGCAGGTCGGCCCGTGTGGCGGCCGAGGTCACCGCACAGGGGTCAGCGGCCAGACAGAGGAGCCGGGGCTGCCTCGGGGGCCCCACATACCAGTAGTAGAGCAGGAAGAGGAAGGTGGGCAGAGAGACGGCCAGCTGCAGCCACCGCCAGTGCTGGACAGCGTAGGCCACTCCCGAGAGCAGCACGAGCCCCACCGTGAAGGCCGTCTGGTAGAGGATCGCCACCGTCCGCCTGTGGCCCAAGCCCATGAATTCTGTGACTAAAACAGGAAAAGGGTCACTATGCTGACTCCTTCGCTCCCCGTGGCCTCCCGCCCTCCCTGGTGAGCCCCTGCACCTCACCACCCGCCCCCCCACCTGACCCCAGGCTCCTTCCCCGAGTCCCGCTGATGCTCCCCAGCTCAAGGGTCCCCGAGACACCCCGCCCTTCGTCCCAGCCTCTCTTGAGCTGGTTCTTTTTCTGATTCCCCCATTTGCTGTCTGTAGTGCCAGTTGCGCACTCGGGATTCAGTCTGCTCTACACTGTCCGCCTCTCCTTCCCCAGAGCTTGGCCCCGATGAGCTCCAGGCCGAGCTATGACATTTCCCTCGGCCCAGGAGTGCTCACTAACTTAATGAGGGCCCTGGCACCACTCTGGGTGTCTGGGGTCTGTGGCCAGCTCCATGGGCAGTGGTGGCCTGCACACCCCATCTCCTCAAGAGAGAGGGCTGAGGGCACACCTGGCAAAGGAGTAAACTGTACACCACAGGGGAACAAAATTTTGACTGGTGGGGGGGATCAGGACAGGCCAGGGTAGGGGACGCAGCTTTCCAGAAGGCAGTGCTGTGGGGTGGACCTCAGGGGTGAAGTTCCAGGCAGAGGAGCTGAGGAGGGGGATCTCCGGGGCAGGGGGTGGGGCGAGGCCACGGAGGGGGGTGGAAGGGTGGTGCTCAGAGAAGCTGGCTTGCATGGCGTAAATTGCAGAGCCGGTCCCTCGAGGGGCAAACGCGCTCCCACGTCTGCCGCTGAGTTGAGACTTGAGACCAACATGGAGGCGAAAAGACAGTGTGGGCTCGGGCCCAGTGGCAGCAGCAGAGGAAGAGACTGTGGGTCCGAGTGTGCTGTGAAAGTAAAGCCGGGCAGCAGGACCCGAGGAGGCAGATGCAGGCGTGGGGAAGTGGAGGGCATGGCCGCCCACAGGCCTGAGCGGCTGGACAGAGAGCACTTTACAGACGGGGGAGGGGGGGTGCTGGGGTCGGGGGTCCGCAGGTGGCTCAGGTTTGGGGCTGGGGAGGACAACATCCTGGGCCCCCCCACATTGAGGGAGAAAAGAGGAGGAGCCTATAAAGGACATCAGTGAGCCACTAGCAGAGAACGGGGTGGGGAAGGGGGGGGCAGGGGGGCAGGGGTAAGGGAGTGGAGGACCTGCAAGCCAGTGGGGAAAGCCTTCAGAGGAGGTGTGGCCCTCACCCTGTCCGGACAGATACCCGCTTGGGCATCTGTCTTTCTAGCAGATGAGCTCCTGGCAGGGAGGAAGGAATGCCTCTTCCGGCTTAGTGCCCCAGCCCCGCCCTAGCGCCTCCCCTACAGAGAGAGCAACTGGGCGGGGCGCCCCCAGCACAGTGCAGGCATTGCTCCGAGCCCCACCCACGTGGCTCATCTGCTCAGGGTACCGCCAACCTTCCCCCACCCCCACCCCCGTCCCCGCATGAGGGCATCGAGGCCCAAGATTATGGAACTCGCCCACGATCACATGATGGTCAGCCGATATGCAATGTGCAATGCCAAGTTCATCTCCCTAACCATGTGCCAAATAGCGCGTATTGAACATACACATGGCCAGTACGTATGTACTGAACCCATTAAGCACACAGTTTCTCGGGGGAGAAACCTGCTTTCTCTTGGTTAATGAACCATTTCCCAGAATGCCAAGACATAGGATAGCATCTTCAGAGAGGGAAGGACCTCATTGTTTCTTTTCTGTTCTCTACAATGAGCAAAACTGTGGATTGTCCTCACTGCTGCCTGATGTGCCCACCTATGTGCTGAGGAAAGCATAGACGGCTCTTCTATACTATTTCCTTCCAAGAAAGTAATTTTCATTCTTTCTTCTTACCCTTCAGAGAAAAATTTGAAAGAAAAAAAAGTATGTAGGAAAAAAAAGTTTGTTCCTTCTCTTTTTTCCTCTTTGTCTTCTTCTCTTCTGATTTTCAAGTGGTTCAAACCAGTTGAGTTGTATTTCTTTTCAGGAGATGCTGGTTCTTTCATATTTAAAATGTTAAATACTCCCTTCCCTGACTCCCCTTCCTGCCTTTCCCCTGCTGTAAACACATCAACTTTTTCCAAATGTTTCCATTCCAACACATGATCTTTTTCCAAATAGATGAGTTGATATGGAAAGATTGATCTATTTAAGTGGTAATTTAAGTGACTCTCAGACAAAAGAATGAAGTTAGGAAGGAAGGAAGGAAGGAAGGAAGGAAGGAAGGAAGGAAGGAAGGAAGGAAGGAAGGGAGGGAGGGAGGGAGGAAGGCCATCCCCACGTAGTGCCCATGCCCCAGTCACACTATCACGTGCAACTAGAGTGACCACAGTTTCTCTAGACCCTGCAAACATCCCTTCTTCCCCCAAAACCCACCTGCACGTGGGCCCCGTCCCCTTGCTCGCGCCCACCTGACCTCTGCAGGACGTCAGCCCCGCGGACACTTACTCAGTATGTAACCAGACGTCCAGCTGCCCTTGCTGACGAGCCCCTGCAGCAGGCGGAACAGCACCAGGGACGGGTAGTCTGGCGCCACGGCCGTGAGGACGCCCAAGATGGCACTGGCGAGGGTGGTGGCCAGGAGACATAACTTGCGGCCAAACCTTTCGAGGCAAGGAGGCAGGGACGTGAGGCGGGGCCGTTGAGTATTGGGGGTCAGGTGGGCCCCACAGGGCAGCAAGGGTCCCAATCGGGAGGCACGCGTCACTGCTCTCCTGAGGGACCGTCCCCCCTCAAGGCCCGACCTAGTCGTCCTCAGGGAACAGCGGCCCGTCCGAGGTTCATTAAGTCACACAGGACAGAGGAACCGGAATCCTGGTGCTCGCAGCCATCTGGCATCTCAGCCAAGGAGGATGGCTCCCGGGTGGCTCTGCAGGGTCCCCCACGGGTCCCCTCTCATTGCCTTTGTATCTGGCAGCCTGTGTTATTATTAACAGCGTTTGGCGGGGCGCACCCCGTGCTAATCTTACCAGCGGCCTCAAAAACCTTTCCGGGGAAACATTCAGTTCTCATGGTGTAACTATTGAGGATTAGTTCCTTTTCCTTCCCCACCCCCACCCCCCCGCCCCGAAGGAAATGGGCAAATTATTACCTAATGCTTCATCCCGTGAGGGGGCTTTACTGACTCCATCTCTCAAACCTGGTCCCGCATGCAAGGAAGTAAGGGACCAGCCTCAGGTGCGGTCACAGCCGCCTGGCCCCCACCCCCAGATCGCCCCACCCTGCCCCCTGCATCCTGGACCCCAGCACGCCCATTCCTCCTGCTTCTCGCGGCCTCACACCACCTGCCCCGCGCAGCGCGCCTCCGCACCAGCCCCCGGCCTCTACCCCGATGGAAACTTCCCGTCCAGGGCTCACCCCTTCTCACCTCAGAGCAATCAGACCTCATGGTGTTTCCTCCTGTGCCTCTGACCGCAGGCGGTGCCCCATCACCGGAGCCCAGCCCCTCCACTGCCCCTCCGGTCCCCACACCCCCACCCCACGCTCTGCGATGCGGTCCCTCGCTTGTCCCCTGTCCTTCGCAGCCCACTCGCCCCTAAGAGTTGTCCACACGCACAGACTCCACGTTCTCCTCCCTCGCTGTTCTTCAGCCTTCCTCTGACACCGTCCCTGGTGCTCGTGGGGCCACGTGCGCAGGTGTGGCCTGCTCTGCCTCAGCGAGCAAGCCCCGTCGTGTTCCCGCACCAGCTGTGCGACCTCCTTGGCCGCAACTCCTTCCCTACCAACCAGTTCGCCTCTCCACACGCTCTGCTAGCGGGCCTCAAACGCGGTTTACAGCGTTAAGTACCAGTTCCTGCGGACGAAGGCCGAAGATCTATCTCCAGCGCCAGCCTCTCTTCCGAGCACAACACGTGTATCCACCAGCCTACTTGACGTCTCTTCTGTGCCTCCTGCGCTACTGTGAGCGCAGCTGTGAGGCTAGCGCTGCTAGGACACAACTCTGCACCCCACCCCTCCCACCACAAAGAGCTGCAGTGAAGTCGGCTTCCCCCACCCCGACTCGGTCCCACCTCAAAAAATAGCCCCACCCTCACCTCATCCGTCTGCTTGACACATAAAGTTTGGCTTTGTCCCCACCTTCTCTCAGCCCACCACCCCTATTATACAATCTGCATGGGGTGTGGACCCCTGAAATCCGTCCTAAATCCCCAACCTCACTCCAGCTTGCTGCCCCTCCCTCATCCAAAGCACTAGCTACCATGTCTTTTCCCCATCAACTTCTGTGGTAGATTCTAACTGGCCAGATTCTTCCACCACCGACCCCTACAACCCATTCTCTGCACGGCATTGTCACTCCATATGGCTGGACTGGCCTTTACGTACCTGTCTGCAATGTAGCCGACACCCAGGGAGCCCAGGAAGAAGCCCAAGTTCACGCAGGACTGAAAGAGGTCCACCTTCCAAGAGTTCTCACACACCAGGTTAAACTGCAGCAGTCCACACCACCGTCGGAGGGGCCAGAAACACAAGACCGCGTGTGAGTCAAACTACACCTTCCACCTTCTCTCCGGACAAAGTAAATGTTTAACATAAAGCGTGACATCCCAAAGGTGTCTCACGGCATTTTCTCCTACCACGTGTTCGGAAGGCAAATTCAAGGTCAAGGTAAATCTCAGTTATTATCATTATGGATCTCATATCTTTGCTTTACCCTCACTATTTATTAGTTAAAGAAGCTACTGTCCAGTGCTTCGACATTGATAGTCGATTATCAGAAGACAACATGGCCAACAGGTAAGTTTTCTAGAAAGAAGTACAGCAGAGTGATTTCCTAAAGATGGAAATGTAGCAAAAGAAATAGAACATGTTTTTAAAATTGGACAAAAGCCCTCAATTAAGTACCTATTAATTATATATTTCATTATGGGAATTCCACTATTATGTAGTTTCCATTGTGACTGATGTTGACCTGAGTGTCAAAGGAAGGGGCTGAATGAGGACAAGATTGCAAGAAGGGGGGCTTAGCGGGAGCAGCCTGGGCCCTGGTGTCCTGTGCGGGGGGCCCAGGGCAGCTGGAGACTTGGACGGACAACATGCCCAGAACCAGAGAGGGGAGAGACTGGGCAGTGGAGAGAGAGAGGCACAGGCACGACAGAGCTGCCGGGGGAAGGGCCTTGCTGTGTTTTAGGGGAAATCTCACTGCAGAGGTCACAGGCCTGGGTGCTGGACAGGCCTCATGAGGAGACATCACTACTCCTTCCTTCAGGCTCAGAGAAGGTAGTTGTGAGGGTGGAGCTCGGGAGCCGCGGCCCTGGTGCCCTTCACGGTCCTGGTGCAGCCCTAACTAGGCAGCGTCTGGGGGCACATCCCTCCTTTCTCCCCATCTCTGTGCCACTCTAGCTACTTTGGACTCACGGCCCCACCCCACCCGATGACATTGCGGGATGTGACCACAGGAGAATCACTTAGCCACTCTGGGCCTCAGTTTCCCAGTCTGAAACGGATGCATTGAGATTGTCCTGTCCCACTCACAGCGCTATGCAAGCACCAGGGGAAACGCGAAAATGGTTTTGGCAAATAGCAAACCCGTTAACTTTTAGATTTTTTTCAATGCTTTTTATTTTGAGAGGAAGACAATTTGTGAGCAGGGAGAGGGGCAGAGAGAGGGGGAGAGAGAGGGTCCCAAACAGCCTCCATGCCAACAGCACAAAGCCCGATGCGGGACTCGAACTCACAAACTGTGAGATCACGACCTGAGCCGGAACCAAGAGTGGGACGCTTAACCAACTGAGCCACCCAGGCATCCCCAACACGGGCACTTTTTAAAATAAAACATCAGTAGTCCTCTGGGCCACCACCTGACCTTCAGAAACTAATAATGAGCCCATCCCATCACCTGCTGTTTGTGCCCAGCCCCGTCGGTCTGCTCCCGTGGGTGGCTCAGCCCTGGGAGGACAACGTCGGCACCTCTGCCGTCCCCTGTCCTGGCCCGGAGTCCTCTCCCCTCAGCTGCAGGCCCTCTTCACGGCTCCCCTGCAGTTAGAAGGCAGAGGGACGGCCCTGCCCCAGCCTCCGTGTCTCTAACTGTCCAACTACCTTTTCATGGCCTCCACCCACGCAGTCCACGAGGGCATTCTGTCTCCAATGGCGCCGAAGCCACGGGGCAGGTCTTTGTCTTTCGCTCGGATCTCCGCAAGGGGCGAGTCTGTGAGATGTCCCTGGCACGCCTCCTGAGATGCCCCGGGACATCCTGCCCTTGGACTGTGCACAAGCGGGGGAGGGGGGGCTCACAGCTTGAGGGAGGTGCCCCCTCCTACCACCGCCTGCTGCTGAGATCTCTGCCCCCCACCCCTACGCCAAGGATCTGTGTCTATAGCCACCTGCTGTGCCCCGGGCCCCCCAAATTCACACCCAACCACTGCCGTCTAGCACACGTGTGCGCACCGGAAGGCAGGCCCAGCCCTCAGAAAAGCCTGGGGCTGTGTTGAGTAGGGGCCGCCGGATGGGCCTCTGAGCGCAGTCACCGTTCCTGCAGGGCCTGGTGTGTTGGGCACAGTCTCGAGAGCAGTGGGCAGTGCTCTCCACGCCCGTCTGGTCCCAGGAACCCCCAGGGTCCTTGTCAGAGGACAGATTGCTGTGGGTGCGGTGTCAGCAGATCTCGGCGACCCGGTGAGTTTGGAAACTGCGATGTAAGTGCCCCCATGACCTCGGGCTGAGGCCCTTTTCCCACCCCTGCTCACAGGCAGGGGAAGCCTGGGCTTCCGGGCCTGGAGAGGGGCCTCACAGCCCGGTGGGGGGCCGGCCCCAGACAGGGGACGCCAAGGGCAGGAAACTGCACATTCCTTCCCCAGGGGGAGCCCAGCCGCTGTCTCTGGCTTGGAGGGAAGTGAGGCTGGGTGTTCAAACCAGCTGGCTCAGCACCTCCCTTGAGCAAGTTCCAACGTCCAAGGCAAGGCTAAGTTAACAATTATTTTTGCAGAAATAAATCAGCAACGTGAATCCTCTGAGGATAAGCTTCAGTTTAGGACGAGGAGCGGAGGCAACGGCGGTTTTCAAGCAATCGGGAGGGAGGGGGAGAGGAGAGGGCGATGCTTCGAGCCCCTGGTCACCTCAGCAGAATCCCACTGTCCCTCAGACTCAGCAGGGCCCCCAGGGCACCCTTTCCCAGGCAGCCACCGCCTCCCGGCCCCCTCCCCCCCGGCACACAAGGGTTCCAGGATCACCTTGGCTCCCCCCAGTGCTTAGATCTAGGGGTCCCCTGCTGCCACGGACAGGGAGGGGGGGCCAGGTCCTGAGCTATCTCAATCCTCCCACCTCCACTCCTCCCTGCTGCCCCTGCCTCTTCCCCACACCCCCTCTGCAGTCACCTCCACCTCCCAAGCGGCTGCTTCTCTGATGTCCAGGCTCTGATTCAACAGCCTCCATCGCCCACCCCCCAGATCCCTCAGGTGAGCTGGGGCCCTTCCCCGCAGCCCCGGCCAGGTCTGTGTCTCCCCCTGCACTCTAACTCGTGTCCCTGACCTTTCTCACTGGGGCTCCTTTCTGGGCCACCTGAGTGCCCCTGTACTGGGGATGCCCCCGGGCCATTCCCAAGCTCCAGCCAGAACTGTCTTGCTCTTCTGCCTCAACAAGGCCAAATGTCCACATTTGTTGCCTCATTTAGGAAAACAAAAAACAACAAAAAACCACAGGGTGCCCGGATGAATTTGAATTTCAGATAAACAACACATATATATATTTAGTGTAAGTACCTCCCATGCAATATTTGTCTTCCCTGCCTCGGTATCAAATATTGCACATCTGGGACATAATTATCTTTAAAAAATCGTTGGTCATTTATTTGAAGTTCAAGTTTAACTCGGTGTCCTGTGTTTTATCTGGCCACCTCTCTGGGGGACTCTGCTCTTGCCAAAGGGGAGACACCATCCTCATTCACTCCCCGACCTCTCCACAGAACCCTGAATCTGTGTAACAGCTCATTGTCCCCGAGAGGCACCAGATCCTTCTCCCCCGAGCCTGGGCCAGTGCCCCTCCCCCCCCCCCCCCGTTTCCTCTCCTCACCACTCAGAATACACCCGAGGTTCCAATCAAATGCCACCTCCTTCCAGAAGGCGCCCATGATAAGTTCAGCAGCGAGGATACCCCTCCTTGGAGCCCACTGGCCCCTGTGTGTCTGCCCACACGTGGTCCTGGGCACTGGTCTTAATCTCCCCGCCTCCCTCACTGCCCTGGAGAGAAGCTCGCAGCTTCCTCCCTGTCTCCACCCCAGCACCACGGCAGCGCTGGGGCAAAGGCTCAGACACGTTTATCAAGTGAACAGATGAAGGAGTAAATGAACCAATGAAGAATCGATTGCTTCTGCCCGTTTACTAGCACCTCTTTGCGTAGCTTCTGGCTCTTGGCTTCAACGAGCGACCTCAGTGCTAATTTCTAAGTCCCCCCCACCCCATCACAATGCAACACTTTCAAAAGGATGCATGAAAGGAAAAAACTCTGGTGGCTTTTTACTAAAATATTCTCAAAGCACAACCCAGAAATAACTCACTGAACTATGCAAGCAGGACCCTCTGACACCATCACCCCATCCCGTGGGGCCACCTAGTGCAGCTCAGCTCATGCTTGTCAGCGGTTACACCATCTTCAGCTGAACTGCCCAACACTACAGGGCAGGTCACTGCCATCCCTGGAGAGGAAGCTGAAGCTCAGAGATGCGGGGTAACCTACTCAGTGACGCCCAGCTCCTCCGGACCAAGGCTGGGATTAAAACAGTCTGACTCCAGCGCCAGGGCGGCCTCCCCCCCTCCCCAGCCACATGAAGCCCTCACATGCCTGTACCTCTTGAGTGGAGGAAAGGGGGCCCCCGCTAATTCCAATGGTAGGGAAGCCGTACCCTAAGCCAATTCAGCAGGCTCTTGGAGAAAGAAGCCAGTGGGGCAGAAAGGAGCCCGTCTCCCCGTAGACCCATGTTCAAACAATCCAGCTCAGCCTGGCCTGCCGAGGTCTCTCTGACCTTCAGACTCCTTCCCTAACACCCAGAGTCCGTGGAAGACTAGACAAGGGAAGAGTGGGAAGCATCCAGGACAGAACTGGATGCTTTTTGTTTGTTTAATATTCATTTATTTGGGGGTAGGGGAGGGGCATAGAGAGAAAAACACAGAATCAGAAGCAGGCTCCAGGCTCCAAGGTGTCAGCACAGAGCCCGATGCGGGGCTTGAACTCACAAGTCATGAGATCATGACCTGAGCTGAAGTCTGATGCCCAAGTGACAGAGCCACCCAGGCGCCCCAGAATTGGACATGTTCTAAGTGCTCGGTGAATAGAACTCTCCTCCCTTTCCCATCCCCCGCCTCTGAAACCCACCTGCCCCCCAAAACACAGGGCCGGCTCTCACCTCTGTCACGATGGACGAGCCCTGCGTGTCGTACACCCAGCCGTGGCGACAGGGGCCCAGCGGCAGGTCGCTCCTGTTGTCCGCCAGGCCGGCCAGCGGGTCCACGCAGCTGAGGGCGCTCTGGTTCCAGTCCACCTCGTAGCGGCGGCACTGGAGAGGGGAAGCCTCGCCCGCAGCCCCCGGGCCGGGCACCGTGTAGTTCAGCTCCTCTGCCAGGCTCCAGCCGCATCGCCGGCTCAGCTCGGCCACCCCGGGGCTCAGGCAGCGGTGATCCGGGCTGAAGGCCAGGAAGACGATGCCCACATAGAGGGGGGCGAAGGCAGCTGACAGCAGGCATAGGGTCAGGAAGATTTGCTTCTGGAACCAGCCAAACTCCCCAACCTGCTCCAGAATGTCATCCACAGTGGGCATGACTGGACCGGCACCCTCATCACTTTGGCCAAGCTGCTCCGGCGGCGGTGGCCAAGGTCAATGTCTCATGTCGGCTTCTCTGCAACAGGCTGGTTTAAATTGCTGTCCAAGCATGCTCTACCTGGAAGCCAACCAACTGGAAATAATCTTTCACCCGACGGCGCGGGTGTCCGGCAAGGGCGAAAGGCAGGAGGGTGCCTGGCCACATGCCTTGCGGGGAAGCAAGGCAACGAGGCTGAGGTTCTAATTCTCTGGGCGTTAGAGGAGAAAGCTAGAGCCTGTCAGGTAACCCCCAGCCCCCAGTGGTCTCTTTAGAGCTCTTCCAGAGAGATTACTTAAAAACTTCTTTTTATAATCCAGATAAATCAAAGGTAGTACAGCTTCAGGTGCTGTGCGATCCAGCACTCATACTCCTTCACCTAGCTGGCCTGGCCCTAAGCGTGGCTCTGCTGAGCACCACATCCTATTTGTCTCCAAGGGGTCTGCAGGCCAGCATCTCGTGGAAAAGGAAGTCACCAACGAGCTTCAGACTCGGCCACAGGCTCAGACTCGGCCATCAGCCAGGTAATAATAATGACAAAAGCATCAGCCTCCAATTTAGGGCTCTGAATTGTTACCAGGTCATGACAGCCTTCAAGGTCAATGCTACAACTCTCCCCATGGCACAGCTAGGAAAATAGCGGCTTGAGGAGCTAACAGCAACCTCCCGAGTTCTCACCGTCCTTGAACTTGAACCTTATTCTGCTCCAGAGCAACATCCTGAATTTCTTAATTTGCCCTTAGTTCACGAACTCCTCTGTCAGTTTGTTTTTTTCACTCAACAAACATTCACCAAGTCCCTATAGGTTTCAGGCAGTGCCAGGCTCTGGGACACAGATGGGGTAGCTTCTAACTCCAAACAGCGTTCAGTTCAGGGGGGATAGACTCACAGAGGGACAGCTCAAGCAGAGGGCACTAGGGGAGCCCCCAAAACGGGCCCCTCAGCCAGCCACGCACCTTATACCCAGTGGGTTGACACAGTGGGGGGAGGGGGAAGAGCAGGAAGTGATGAAAGGCGGGAAGGGCGTGGCAGGCAGACATAGGACGGTGGCCTCCCAATGACCCTGCCTCCTGGCAGTCGCACCCTGGAGTAGGCATGGGATTCAAGACTGGCTGGTCCCCACAGAACACAGCAAATGTGGCCATGCCACTCCCAGGATTACATCAAGTGCAGTTTAACAGCCACCTGGCCGGCGTCCGTCTGCCCACTGCTGGCTGGATGAAGCAGGTGGCCCTGTGCGGGAGTCCACAAAGCAAGGAGACGAGGCGCCGCCGGCTGACAGAGACCCTCAGTCCGGCAGCTGCGGGTCCCACGTGGCTTCAGAGGCAGATCTTGCCCCAGACTGCCTTATGCGGCTCCACACCAACGGACAGGGAGAAAGGGTGTGGGCTCCTCAGGGCAGCAGGGCCTCGAAACATGCAGCGCTGGGGCTGGGGCTGGTGAACTGCGCTCCACGCACGCCCCCCTGGGAGCCTGTGTGCTGGGCGGACCTCCAAGGCCGGGGCACTGGCAGCGGGGCCTGGCTCGAGCAGCAGCTCCCTAGGCCCGTCCGCCTGTGCGCCAGCCCCTTGGCTGCTCTTGGAGCAGGGGCCGGGCAGGGGGACAGCCTGTGCCAGCCGGGCCCCCCAGGCCCTCGTCCCGGTTCCCCGGGCCCTCCTCAGGGGAACAGGACAGGGAGCTGCCCCCATAAGGCGGAGCTGAGAGCCGGCATAGGGTCCTCAGGCCCCACCTGAGAACCACAGGCAGAGACTCCCACATCCTGATTCTGCATTTCCCCAGGAGGTGGGGGGGGGGGCGCGCAGGGGGTGCTGACAACGGGGGGCTGGGAGCTGGCTATTAACAGGCCATAGCTCTGCCGAAGCACCACAGGCTGAATGGGAGCTCGGCCTCTGGCTTTCTGGCTAACCAGACCTTTAGCCTGGGGCGCATGGACCAACCAGGGTGGTGGGAGAGCCTAGCTCCCCAAACAAACCCCCTGCCCCATCTCCTCACCCCAACATAGGAAGTTTCCCAGGGCCCCGTGGGACCTCACCCAGAGCCATCACCTGCCCAGGGCAGGCTCCCAGCTGCTTGATTGTAAAACCACCTGACACCCAGGAAACGGGGTCGAGGGGCTGTCTGGGCACAGGGTGGGACCCCACGAGCCCCACCAGAGCTGCTGATGGCGGACAGCGGGATGCCACCAGACAGGAAACCCCTTCCCCCACCCCCTGCCATGTCCGCCCCAGGGGTGGAGCCCTTTGTTTCTGGGACTCTCCTCTCTGCTGCCCGGGCACTGGCAGCTGGCAGCCCGCTGGTTTGGTAAAATACGGCCCGCCTCCAGGGGTTGTAGCCCTTGAATCCCCCTGCTCACCGGGCTGCTGCCAGGGGCTGACACTTGCCGGGAGGGCAGGAAGACCCCAGGCAAACCGCCCCTAGGGCAGGACCTCACCCACTCCCAGCTGAAAGGCAGGCCTTCCCGCTGGCGTGAGATCGTGGGAAATGTGTCCGGTCTCTGCCGCAGGTTCCCGGCACGGAGGAAACCCTGCCAAATTCCTGGGTGATAGGAGTGTCCTTCGTTCTAACGAGGTGACAGTGGATGGCTCCCGTCATGGGGAAGACCAAGCCATGATTAGAAGCTTGGAACTTTCAGCCTGACCCCCATTCTCTTGAGAAGCAAGAAGGGCTAAAAGTGGCGTTCGTGATCCATCAAGCCTACATGAGGAAGCCTCTGCGAGAAACCCAGAAGAATGGGGTTTCGAGAGCTTCCTGGCTGGTGAACACTGGTGAACACACCCACCTCGGGGGCTCACACACCCCATCTCCACGGGGACAGAAGCTCCCCACGCTTGGGACCCTCCCAGACCTCGCCCTGTGTATGTCATCTGGCCGCTTGTCTGCGTCCTCCACCCTTCAGTAAACTGGTAAGTGTGTTCCCCCGAGTTCTGTGAGCTGCTCTAGCAAATCAACTGAATCCAAAGGGGAAGAAGTTATGGAGGCCCCCCGACTTTGTAGCCAAGTCGGACAGAACTATGGGTAACCTGGGGACCTGCGACTTGCCATTGGTATGTGAAGTGGGAGGCAGTCTTATGGGACTGAGCCCCTAGCCTGGGGCGGTGGAGGGGGGAGTAGTGGGGGGCTCTGATGCTACCTGCGGGTCGACCACATCAGAACGGAGTTCAGTGTCAGGACTCCCCGCTGGTGTTCCGAAGAGTCGCTTGGTGTGGGGAAAAGCCCCACAGGTTTGGTGACCAGGAAAGGCTCTGGGTGTGTGGCAAGGGAGAGCCACGGGAGGAAAACAAGCGGCTTTTTCTAACACAAACCCGCTGGCTCCAAACGTCCTGGCTGCCCTCTCCCTCCACCCGGGAAGCAGCCAGAGAGCAAAGGTCCAGCTTTCGACACATCCTGGGGAGAAAGTGAGGCCCCTTCCTGCCCCCACCCCCTGCCAGGGGCCACTGCAGCCAGCCAGGCCTGACACCCCTGCTCGTCTCTCCCTGGAGAAGGCATCTCCCTGGCCCTGGGCAAAGGCTCCCCTCCCCCTCCCCAGCGCGCTGGGCGCCCTTCCTTTTGCTCCACTCTGTTCCCATCTCCCACTCCCTGGGTCAGTGCCACCTCGGGTCATCAGCAGGGCGCAGGGGCTGCCCCCAGGCCGCAGGGCTGTCCTGGCTGCAGGCCTGCTCACCAGCCCTGGGTCTGTGATGTCCCTCTATGTGCCATCAGGAGGGGACCGCCGTGGTGGGGGCAGACCTCAACCCCCAGCACTTTCTCCAAAACAGCTCCTTCCTCCTAAGGTCCTTCAGGGGCAGTTGTTAGCCTGCGCTGAGGAGTGTGGAAGCCACCAGAAATGAGGACCCAGCATGGGAGCCACGGTAAAGTTCCACTCAGTCGGTCGTCCACGGTGTTGCCTTCCTTAGGGCCTCGGGCTGTTGTCTGCAGCACAGCCCCTCCCCCACCTCAGGGCCTCTCCGATGAGTGTTTCCCCCACTCAAAGCCCCAGCCAGGGAGGCCGCGGGGCTGGACGCGTCCCCCCAGAGCCTGCCCCGAGGACAAGACAGAGGGGCCTTCAGTCTCCACCCCCCTCTCCAGGCACTGCAGCCATCTGGACCCAATGACCTGGGTCTGCCGGGCTCGTCCGGGACGGTCTTCTTGTCCCACCCATTCCAGCGTCCACACAAGACGGAAGCCACCCATTAAATCCCTCCTTACTCCCCCCCCCACCCCCACCCCGGGCTCAGAGGGCTGAGCACGCCCAGACGTCACCACCTGGCTAGGGGCTGCTGGGAGCAGGGGCTAGCCCGGCACACAGGACAGTGGGGCCCGGGGCCACGGGTACCACCTGGCCTCTACTCCCGGTTCTACTCCCAGCTGGGTGCCAGCGCCCTCCCACATCCCCAAGGGATCAGTGTCCGAAGCCTCAACGTCAAAGCCCGCTCAGCTCTCAACGACCCACCCACACCCTGTCCCCACAAGAGAACCCACAAAACCACCTGTGGTTCACTCAAAACCGTCAACCACTCAGTCATGCCTTGATGGGCACGGAGGCGATGACGGGTCGCAGCGGGGCAGCCTAGGCTAGGCTCCTCGGCCACCGCACAGCCACGGGTCACTCTCGCTGTGTCTGCTGACCGGCTGGCCCCTCCAGGAGAGCGGCTGGGCCTCTGTCCCCCGACTCCTGCCTCAGGGCTGCCGGAACGGAGTAGCACGGGCGGTCTGGGAGGCTGAGGTCACAGGCATCCATTGTCTCGTGGTTCCGGAACTCCAAAACCAAGCGGGGGGGGGTGGGGGGGGGACAGGGTAGCTCCTTCAGGGCGGGGAGGGAGAGCCTCTCCTTGGCTTGCAGACGTCTGTCCCATCCCTGTGTCTTCACATCACAAATTTTCCTTTTATAAGGACACCAGTGACAGTGGACAAGGCCCCACCCCCCGACCTCATTTTAGCTTGATCACTTCCGTAAGGACGGTCTCACTGAGGTACTAGGGGTGAGCACGTCAACACAGGAATTCTGAGGGACGCGACTGGACCCCTGACCATCTCGACACGCCAGCACTC